TATATATATATCTATCTATATATATATATATATATATATATATATATATATATATATATATATATATATATATATATATATATATATATATATATATATATATATATATATATATATATATATATATATATATATATATATATATATATATATATATATATATATATATATATATATATATATATATATATATATATATATATATATATATATATATATATATATATATATATATATATATATATATATATATATATATATATATATATATATATATATATATATATATATATATATATATATATATATATAGTGTGAGTGTGTGTGTGTGTGTGTGTGTGTGTGTGTGTGTGTGTATATATATATATATATATATATATATATATATTGTGTGTGTACAGTTGAAGTCAGAATTATTAGCCCCCCTTTGAATTTATTTTCTTTTTAAAATATTTCCTAAATTATGTTTAACAGGGCAATGAAATTTTCACAGTTTGTCTGATAATATTTTTTCTTCTGGAGAAAGTCTTATTTGTTTTATTTCGGCTAGAATAAAAGCAGTTTTTTTTTTTTAAAAACCATTTTAGGGACAAAATTATTAGCCCCTTTAAGCTACATTTTTTGATAGTAGTCTACAGAACAACCCATCGTTATACAATAACTTGCCTAATTACTCTAACCTGCCAAGTTAATCTAATTAACCTATTTAAGCCTTTCAATGTCACTTTAAGCTGTATAGAAGTGTCTAGAATAAAAAAATCTAGGCAAATATTATTTACTGTCTTCATGGCAAAAATAAAATAAATGAGTTATTAGACATGAGATATTAAAACTATTATGTTTAGAAATGTGCTGAATAAATGTTCTTTCCATTAAACAGAAATTGGGAAAAGATTAAACAGGATGGCTAATAATTCAGGGGGGCTAATAATTCTGATTTATGATTTTAGCATGATAGGAATACCAAATAAATACCAATTATATTAATTAATAAATCTAACTGCAAAATAAATAACGCGTATTTGTAATTTTAATATTGAGTCATTTAATACAACTTCATCATAAAGTGTGTTTCAAAGCACTAATATATTTATTTATATAATAATATATTTTATAATAAAAACATTTTAAATTATTAATGACAAAAACAACAATCTTGATAATTCAAAAATAAATTACTATATGCTTATGATATTTCTTTGTGTATATACTTTAATTTATAAGTATTAAAGGGCACCTATTTTACCTCTTTTACAGGATGTAAAATAAGCCTTTGGTGTCTCCAGAATGTGTCTGTAAAGTTTCAGCTCAAAACACCCATCAGATTATTTATTATATAATGTAGAATCTGCCCATGTTGGTGTCTGACTACAGTGTAGCTGTTTTTGTAGCCTGTCGCTTTAAATCCAAATGAGCTGCTTCTCCCCGCCCACCGCTCCCACATACGTGTCTGCTTCTCATCATGCGTTACGTCAGATAAACAGCAGTCAGAGACAGACACGGATGAAGCTGAAATACAGCTTATTAGTCAAAAAAACCAAGTTAATGTCATGTATTTGTGGTGTAGTTTATTCAAGCCTTTCTGAAATGATGAGTCTCTCACAGATGCCGTTTGCAGTAAACACACAGACATGTACATTAGCGTTTACTGACACCATGAGGTTGTGGTGATCATAGCAGTTATTAATTACTTATCCATTTTACTGTCTTTATTACAAACAATGTTGCTGTTTTAAAAACTTTTAAAACATCCTTTAAAAATCACAGAGAGTTGTAACATTTTAATCTTTGCAAAAAAAAAAAGTTCTGTGGACTTGTGTATACATGTTATTATAGAAACATGGCGCCTGTCAATCAGTTCGGTGGGCGGGGAAAGCCACACTCCTACATCACGCTGCGGTGGGCCTCAAAATCACTGGCATTTGGATACTATTTTAACGTCTGGAGATTTAAAAAAATAGACTTGTTGTGTTTCTATCACTCCAATATGACTGTGGACACACTAAACCTACACACAGTTCTGTCCGAACAGCTTACAAAAGTTGATTTTCATCATAGGTGCCCTTTAATGTTAGGGTGATTAATTATGATCATCATTGCACTGACATTTACTTTTATTCTTTACGAACGATCTGTTTTTAATAATGAAGGATAGACATACCTGAGCGAGCTCCAGATAGGTAAGTACCTCTCCATCAATGTCCTGTCCATCTTTAGATGCTTTTAGTAACTCGCTCACGGCGTATTGCTCTGAGGAGAGAAAACATCTGTTAAACAGAAGGCACATTTACATCAGCATTTCTTGCTTAGATTTGCAAGTTTATTTCTTGCATTCACACTTTAAAATCTCATAATTCATCACAATATTTTCTTAGTTACACTGTAAAGAAAAATCTTGCGGTCTTAAATCATTTCGTTGGATCAAACTAACTTTTCGGGCTGCTCAGTGGTTAGCACTGTCGCCTCACAGCAAGGAGGTTGCTAGTTCAAGTCCCAACTATGTCAGTTGGCATTTCTGTGTGAAGTTTGCATGTTCTTCCTGCGTTCGCGTCGGTTTTTCTCCGGGTGCTCCGGTTTCCCCTACAGTCCAAAGACATGTGGTATAGGTGAATTGGGTTGGCTAAAACTGCCCACAGTGTATGTGTGTGAATAAGTGAGCGTGTATGGATGTTTCACAGTTTTGGGTTGTGGCTGAATGGGCATTCACTGTGTAAAATGTATGCTGGATAAGTTGGAGGTTCATTACGCTCTGGCCACCTCTGATGAATAAAGCGACTAAGCTGAAAGAAAATGAAGGAATGAAATTAACTTTTGGAGTCATCTCAACTCACATTAATCAAACTGACTAACTTTAAAAAAAAGTTGAAACCTCATTAACTTATTACATTTTTTGTCATTATGTCATAATGACGTACACTCTAAAAATAGAGTTGAGTCAACTTAAAATTTCAAGGCAACAAACTTCAGGACAGTTTCGAGGTTCAACTCAATTACTGCACTTGACTTGTTTTAAGTTGAGTAAACTCAAAAATGTCCCGAAATTTTAAGTTGAGTCAACTTTTTTTTTTACAGTGCATTTAATCATGTTTATTTCTGAGATTTAAATTTTCATTTTCATTTTCCCAAATGTGATATCATAGTAGACTAAAAGGATCATGTGACTGAAGATTGGAGAAATAAAAATTTAGCTTTAAATCACAGAAATAACAGATTTTACTGTTAATTTTGTTGTTAAATTTTACATTTTTAGAATCATAATACTAAGAAAAAATCCAATGAATTATTAGACATGATTTTGTTATTAGATTTTGTCTCACGATTTGATTCATAAACTTACAACTGTGAAATTTGATTTTGTACTTCCTGAGCAAAGTTAGAACTGTGGAATAATTGTTATAGGCTAGAAGTGCACAACTGAGAAAAAAAATCTAAATTTGGAGAAATAGTCACAACTTTTATAGTCAATATATTTCACATAAAATTATTTTTAAAAATGAAGAAAAAAAAACAACTGCAAGAGTTTATAAACTTGTGGTTGCATGGAAAAGTCAAAGTTTCGAGAGAAAAAATAAATAAAAACAATTGAAGAAAATTGAAAAGATTTACGTCTTGCATTTTCAAATTTATATCTGTTTTATAATTTAATTTTAAATTCCAAATTGCATGAAAGAAAGTGTGAAAGCTTTTTAAATTTGCAATAGGGGATATGCACAGCTAGTGTTGGTGAAATTTTATAATGTGTCTATTTTCATACAATCAGTTAAATAGACTTAAACATTCACCGTGTAACCGTTAGTGCCGTCATGAACAGCAGGTCATGTTTATCAAACATTGTCATATTATAAAGACATGGAGGGGGAAATTGTCATTTAAAACAGTGCTTCTTGTCTAATTTGAGACCCAATTTATATCTTATATCTATCAGGCAGTGAAGATCACTGATTTTTAAAGGAAATCAGACCTTAAACTTGGCATTTTTATAATGGAAAGACAGTTCACTGGCTGGCTGAAATAAAAGTATGGGTACATATACCCCATTGCTAGAAATAGACACAATTTTAAGAAAGAAGTTTAAACTAAACTGCAAATTGCGAGATGTAAATGCACCATTCAGGAAAAAATTAAGCCTAAAAAAATTACAATGGCAAAAATCCTGGATATTCTGAAAACAAAGCAAAAGCAAAAGCAACAACAGCTTTGTGATATAATCTTTAAAAAAATCGTAATTGTGATCTAAAGCTGCATTCACCATTTTTAAATTATTCCTTGGCAGGAACAAATATGCCTGGCATAAAAAGCATTGTTTAAAAAGAACAATATTTCACCCGATGCTCAGAAATAAGTTTCCACACAAAGCACCACAGCAGCACATTTACCCACAATAATATTTCATCCTATGCTTTGCTACTCTTGCAGACTGTAAATAATCTGACGCACAAAAAAAAAAAAAGAGAGAGAAAATGTTTTCCCTCTGGGGCGGTGCAGGCTACGCAAAAGCTGAGGTAAATAGTTGCATCTGGAGTCACAGATAAATTTCAGCCTGTCACCGCCACGTCATTAGATGACGTCCGCCGGACAGATTGTAGTGTATGCCACACAAAGCTCTGCAGAGACGTCCTCTTTAATTTGGCACCTTGACATCACTCGTTGCTTAGCAACACTGAGTGAAATGGCTAAAAGGCCTGTTTGCTTTGAGTCTGAGGTGGCCGAGCGGCTCTGCCCTGTGCTTGAGGAGGAGCATGTGTGTTTGTGTGCTTTGAGTGTGTGTTGAAGGATGTTGCAATCCCCTACCGACACTGTGGTAATTTACCTTTCAGAACACCTATTCTGCTCACCAAGGCTGCATTTATGTAATCAAAAATACAGTAAAAATGTGAAATAATATGTATGTTTTTATTGAATGAGCTGTAAAATCTTATTTATTTTTGTGATTTAAAGCTGATTTTTTTTATTTCTTCAATTTTCAGTGTCACATGGTTATTCTAATATGATGACTTAACGGTCAAGAAATATTTATTATTAATGTCTTCACTGTTGAAAAGGGTTGGGCTGCTTTATTTATTTAATTATTATAACAACGGAAAACCGACAATGATCACCTCAGGTACACCTCATGTGCTTTATTCAGTGTTGAATGCTAATAATGTGAGTTTGAATGCCATTTTACATGACATTTATTGCCATACTACTAAAAGCAGCAGCAGATAGTTCACCTCAGATCTTGAAAATAAAATAAACGGTTTGAAATTGAACTTTAGAACTGTGAATCAGTGCAAGCCAACACATATCAGTGATTCAGCATCTACATTTAATAATGTTGAAGAGGTTTAATATGTATTAATTCGATTATAAACCTCACCATTTCGTTGGAGTGCAGTGAGTGCACTATTCTGTGCTTCTGAATAGCTGAATTTAAATTTCTGTCGTGTTTCGTCTGGTGCTAACAGCCCAATTGCATATCACTGCAAATCAAGTGTGCCGCAAGCCTGCGTTTGAGTGAAGGTCTCGGCCGTTAGATCGCCCCCTGGGGGCTGGCTGCAGTACAAGTCATAAAGCCCGCCTCCTCCGTGTTAATGAAGGAGACTTGAGCCCAAATAAAAAAAAATTATTACACTTGCAATAAAATGTCCCGAAAGATGGTTCTGGTCGATTAAGGCACTGGTTATTGTGCTGAAATAGGTGCAGATCTTCATTTTTGTAAACAGTTTGTTTTTAGCAGTAATTTAATGCTGGGCGTGTCATCGTGATTGACAGCTGTGATTGACAGTTTCTCAAAGCAGCGGCGTCTGAGCTTCGGCAGGAGACTGAAGTAGACTGAAATGTTATTATTCGATTTCTGTGTTATTTTACCATGACAAAATGAGTTCAGCAGTAAACTATAGTTTCTGACATACATGATCCTGGTGGAACACTGTTTATTCGCTAAGTTCAGGGCTTTTTTCGGGCTTTATTAGTTTGCTGATACACGACTAACCACCCAGATAGCAAAACACAGTTCCGGCTAGATTCTCGCCTGCCGGAGACTTATCCCTTAGAGCTCAGACTGACTAATGTTACCTCTGCTGGACCTACTCCGGATGCCTGGACTCACTACCCGATTCCAGCCCGAGTCAATCGAGCCAGATGCGGCGGCCGAGCGAGCCGGCGCTGCCGCATGCGAGCCGGAATCAGCCCGCGACGCCGCGAGTAGGTTATGCGCTGCGGTCCGGAGCTGGCGCGATTTAATATATAAAACCCTCATATTTGTTAACGTTATTACATCCATTTGTTTTTATATGACAGCAAACGCATGCTGAGAAGTTCGGGGGGCGTGGTTGATTTTACATAAAGCGTTTGGTTGGAAGCTCGACTCTGCTCATTTTCGCGGCTCCTCCTCTGGCTCCATCAGACAGTCCTTCTGCGCATGTCAAGGCTCCAATTTCAGCAGTCTTTTGCGACAGTTTGTGCCCGTCAAGCAGGCGTTTTGCCCTCAAGGCGTTCAATGGGAAAAAAGGCTGGCGTCGTCCATATTTTTTACAGTCATTGCTGCAAATTTTGTCATGTAGCGTGTTGTTAGGACATGGGGTTACAATATAACCTGCTCACTTAATGTTTACGTTCCTAATATTTATATTATTTACTAATTAATAACAACCCCATGTGGAACTCTAAATCGTGGATGCATACTTTTAGTGCCTTTATGACTGAATGAATCACACCAAGGCAACCCGTGGTGCTGAAATATAATTGGCTTAACTGGCATTGGCCAGGTTAAAGGGCCCAAAACAAAGACAGACATTCCGGCATGGAAATGTTCAAAGCAGAATATCTAACTTTAGCATTGTTTTTCAGATACAAAAATGTTCATTTAGCATGTTTCCTAAATATCTGCAAACATGTTATAGTATTTTTATGCTTAGAAGAGTCAAAAGCACATTTAAGACAATAAACATTTGAGTTTATGTAAATTATTTCCATCAAAGAGAGAGTTCTGGACTCGTTTACTCACCCTTCATTGTATTTGTTTTTCCTAATATGGAAGTCAGTGGTTACAGGTTTTCAGCTTCATTCAAAATATAATCTTTTGTGTTCAACAGAAGAGAGAAACTAATAAAGGTTTAAAAGTCACTTGAGGGAGAGTAAAGAGTGAGCAACTGTCCATTTTTGAGTGACTATCCCTTAAACAAATGAGTAAATTAAATTAAATTAATCGCTCTGTAAAACCCAGCAGTAAAATACAAGTAAATGAAATTAAATGTAAAATTAAAATTTTATTAAATTTAATTACAATTAAAGTTCAAATTAAAATTTAATTAAATCTTAATTTGATTTCATTTTACTTTTGGTTTTACAGAGTGATACATTTAAATTAAAATTTAATTTAATTTAATTTAATTTAATTTAATTTAATTTAATTTAATTTAATTTAATTTAATTTAATTTAATTTAATTGTTGGGTTCTACAGAGTGATCTACTTGCATTGTAAAGGGTGCGTGTTGGCACAGGACTCACCTGTGAGGGCGATGAGCCGTGGAAGGCACAGTCTGTTGGCCAGGGCGATCAGCTCCATTGGGTCCAGGTCTGCCATGGGCGACAGCTGATTGGTGTAGAGGTACTCCAGCACTGCCTGCATACATACTCTGCTGGTGTTGGGGAATGAGACCTGGCAACACAGATGCACTCATGTCTTTATTTTGGAAACAATCCGTTTGTTCAATTCCATTTGGTGCCGCTAAGTCAGCGTGAAATAGCGTTTACAACCCATTTACTTCTGAAATGCTACACAGTTCTAAGTGAAATAGGAAATGGGTGAGGAAATGTAGAACGAGATTTGATTTTGTACATCAGAAATTGATTCAATTGTATGGGGCATCTCAATATGATTTTTTTGGAGCAGTTAAAAAATCTGACTTCTGATATCCATGACAGCTGGATTAGA